AAAATGGCAGGTGGAACATCCTTTTCAAAAATCGACTTAAAACAGGCATATTTACAGTTAGAGGTTAGGGAGGAAGATCAAGAGTATCTTACGTTAAACACTCATCGAGGATTATATAGACCTACGAGACTGATGTACGGAATAGCCTCTGCACCGGCGATCTGGCAACGAGAAATTGAGAACATTTTAAAAGATATTCCAGGAGTTACAGTCTTTTTGGATGATATTAAAGTGACAGGTACAAATGATGCGGAACATTTACACAGATTAGAACTAGTTTTTCAACGATTGCATGAGTATAATATAAAAGTCAATCTAAAGAAAAGTGAATTTTTTGTGGATAAAATAGAATATTGCGGATACATAGTAGACCGGCAGGGAATACACAAAGATAAAAAGAAAATAGAAGCAATAGAACTTATGCCAATTCCAAAAAACGTGACCGAAGTCGGAGCATTTATAGGGTTCGTGACTTATTACAGCCGTTTTATTAAAAACTTCAGTACAATTCTGTATCCATTGAATAAATTATTACGGAAAGAAACTCCTTTTTGTTGGACTCGAGAATGTGATATTGCTTTTAAAAAGGCAAAAGAAGCTTTTCAAAGTAATGAGGTATTAGCTTACTATGATCCAAAATTACCACTAATTTTAGCTACTGATGCCAGTTCTTACGGTGTAGGGGCTGTTTTATCGCACAGATACCCTGACGGAACGGAAAAAGCGATACAATACGCGCCATGTACATTAACTGATACACACCAAAAAATACGCCCAAATCGATAAAGAGGCCTACAGTATAATTTTTGGAATAAAAAAATTTCACCAATATCTGTACGGAAACAAATTTATACTTTACACTGACCACAGACCGTTAGTTCACATTTTCGCCCAATCAAAAAGTTTACCGGTATATAGTGCAATGCGTATGCAACACTATGCATTGTTTCTACGTAGTTTCAATTATACAATTAAATATAAGAATACAAAATTACATAGCAATGCAGATTGTCTGTCTCGATTACCAATCGCAAAACTAGAAAGATACGAGTACGATGTAGTCGATGCATTTCAAATCAATACGATTCAATCCCTACCAGTTACATTTACAGAATTAGTTACAGCTACTAAACAAGATACACATTTACGCAAAATACTAGAAGCATTACAAAGCAGTAAAAAAATTGATAAAGAAAGTAAAACATGCAATAATGAACTAGAGTACAGCTTACAACAAGGGGTAATTTTATGCGGACACCGAGTAATAATACCTAAAGTATTACAAAAGAGAATATTACAAGAATTACACAGTGTGCATTTCGGTACCGCAAAAATGAAAATGTTAGCCCGCGGTCATGTTTGGTGGTCCGGCATAGACACCGATATAGAGCAAATTACAAGAAACTGCGCGGAATGTAATGCAAATAAAAACAACCCTCCAAAGATTAAACATATATGGGAACCAGCAACTTTTCCATTTGAGCGTATACATATTGATTTTGCGGGCCCCTTTAAGGGCCATAATTTCTTAATACTAGTCGATGCTTACACCAAGTGGCCTGAAGTACATATTGTAAATAACATCACTACCGAAACTACAATAAAAAAATGTTGGGAGATTTTTTCAAGGTTTGGGCTCCCAGTGCAACTGGTATCAGACAATGGCCGTACTTTCGTATCAACAGAATTCCAAAAATTTTTACAACAAAACGGCATTAAACATAAATTGACTGCACCATACAACCCAGCTACAAATGGGCAAGCTGAACGTTTTATACAAACCTTGAAGAAGTCTCTCCGAAGCATCGACACACAAAAACTAGATCTAAACATAGCATTACAGCGCATTCTTATGCAATATCGTATCACACCTCATTGTACAACAGAAATTTTACCCGCGGAACTTATGTTCAATAGAAAAGTAAGATATTCATTAGATATAATGAAACCTACAAGTGAAATCACATCACAAAGAGATCAAAATGAGAAGTACAGACAATTTAATGAGGGAGAGAGAGTGAGTCGCCGAAACTATCGTTTAGGAGATAAATGGATTTTCGGTAGAATAAAGAAGCATTTAGGGAAATTACACTATTTAATACAAATGGATGATGATCGAATTTGGAAACGTCACGTCAACCAAATACGACTGATTGAAGAACACACCCCAACACGCATTAGTTGTAATGACGAAAATGATAAATACGCGAATTATAATTCAGAAGAACAGTATAGAGAGGTACTGGAAAGACAGCAGGAAATAGAGAGACCCGTTAACTCACCGCAACTACGTAGATCTCAAAGATCAAGAGCACCTCCACAGAGATACGGAGATTACCATACATACTAAACATGTTAACTTAGAAGTTGTTTCAAATTTTGTTTTGTCCCTTCCCTCCATGGGTACTTCCTCTTAAAAGGAAGGGAGGTGTTGTCATAAGATTTTATATATTGCGCGACTTGCTTAGGAAGCGACATCTTTCGGGAAGCGGAACGACTTCTTTCTTTCTTCCATATTGTTTTCGCCTTCGTTTCCGTTTTCCCCCCCCCTCCTCCGTGACGTACGGAGATAGAGAGTGCAAGACAACTGCGCTCGGGCTTGGTTTCCTTACGCCGTTTCGGTTGTGGAAGCAAACCGCTAGTCGCGAGTGGGACTACACATATTTTTATAAGCCTAATAAAGTGGTATTATTCAATAGTCATATACACTCTTAGTAGTTATCGTGAACAACAACCTTTCACCGCTCTTACACAAGACATAACAGTTTATACATACGTTTAAACACACACGTTCGTACATACGCTTTATACGTTATGGTCTATATATATATTATGGTTTATGTTTCGAAGACGTTGACGGCGTTG